GGCCTTCCAAGGCTCCCAAGAGGACCCCAAGAGAGCCCCAAGAGGGCCCCAATACCCTTAAAATAGTGACGCTAGAGCTCCACTGCCCACCCAAAGAGCCCCATGAGAGCTCCAATCGGCGATGTTGAAGGCCCATGGGAAGGGGGCCGACATCGAGGACCACACATCTTTTGATCGATTCTCTCCTAGATGGCCCCAACAGACTTTCCCGGCCACCAGCCGCAGCACCAGCACAGGCAGCAACAACATCAGCAGCACCACCAACAGCAGCAGCACCAGGGATCGCACTCTTTGGATCCCTCCACCTCCTCCTCCTTTTTCTCCCCCCTCTCCCCCTCGCCCCCGCGCGGCCCCCAGGGACGGCCCGAAGAGGCCTTCCAAGGCCACCCCCTCGCTCCCAGAAGTCTCTCGGTTAATCCTGGGTGCTCGCTTTGTTCCCCTAGATGTGTCCCTGCGTCCCTTTTCTCGTCAGCTCTCGTGGGCAGGGCTTCTGAATGGGCTGGTGGGGATATTTTTTAATTCGCGAGCGCGCAGAGGTGCCAGGCGCCGTCCAGAAACGCGGCGAACAAGCAACGGCCTAAATTCCGCACAAGAGCACTCAGGAGCGGGCTACGCTGAAGCTCAGGAGACGCGGTGGACCAGGAAGAGCCACCGGTCGAAGTGCAGCGCCAAAATGGCGAAGTTCATAAAAAGGCCACGTACTCGAATACCGCCGTGACGTAGCCGAAGAGAACGACGAACAGCGACATGCAGGCGCTCAACGGAGTAGGCTCCGGATCGCCAAGCGCCGACAAGGGCCGAGGCAGGGGCGTGGAAGCGGCGGAAGCGCCACCACGGGCGGGGGGGCAGGGAGAGGGCGGCCCAGAGACAGCTGAGGCGGGGGACCAGCAGGAAGAAGGCCGCACCCCTGCGATGGAAGCGGCGAGGGCCAACGACAGGGGCGGCGAGGTCCACTTCAGGTCTGCGCGGCGTCTCACCCCGCTGGACCCGCCAGCAGCACTCGAAACCTACCTCAGGTCTGCGAGGTGCCTCATTCCGCTGGGCCCACCAGCAGCCCTCGAAATTGGCAACTTTCGCAGATCGCAGCCCCCCAAGGACGGCGAGGTCAACCTCGAGTCCGCGCGGTGCCTCACTCCGCTAGACCCACCAGCAGCCTTCGAAAGTGGACAGTTTCGCAGATTGCAGCCCCCACCCACCACCCCAAGGACGGCGAGGTTTATCTTAGGTCTGCGCGGTGCCTCACTCCGCTGGACCCACCAGCAGCCCTCGAAAATGGTGACAATTTCAAAGATCGCTGCCCCCAGGGACGGCGAGGTCTATCTCAGGTCCACGCAATGCCTCACCCCGCAGGACCCACCAGCCGCCCTCGAACGTGGCGACAATTTCGCAGACCGCAGCCCCCCCCCCAAAGACGGCGAGGTCTACCTCAGGTCTGCGCGGTGCCTCACTCCGCTGGACCCACCAGCAGCACTCGAAAGTGGCGACAGCTTCGCACTTCGCAGCCCCCCAGCGACGGCGAAGAGAGGGCAGGAGGAGGCGGGAGGAGGCAGGAGGAGGAGGAGGAGGAGGAGGGAGACGCGACCGCGTTGCCCTATTCAAAACGAGTTCCCAACCAAGGAGGGTTGAGAAAGTGCTTCAAATATGTGCTCGTACATATTTGCTCATAGGTTTCATTTTTAGAGACCGGAGGTGAGGGGGTGAGATCGAAGTGGAACGGAGAGCCCCCCTACCGGAAAATCGGTTTCGGTTTCGTGTTCGTGCGTGCCGTGCGTGCGGGCGAGGCGAAGCTGCGTGGGCGGGCGAGAGGAAAATCTCCTGTGGCTGAGGCGCGGCCGGACCAAATGACTCCCTTCCGGCAACCGGTGGCGCGCGGTGTCCCGCCGGTCTCCCGCCGTGGCTGAGGCGCGGCCGAACCAAATGATTCCCTTCCGGCGTTCGGTGCCGCGAGGTGTCCCGCCGGTGTCCCGCCGGTGTCCCGTCGGTGTCCCGATGATGATGATGATGATGGTGATGATGATGATGATGATGATGATGATGATGGTGATGATGATGATGATCTCGATGCAGTTGATGGTGATGATGAAAGGTGATGGTGGTAATGATGATGGCGTCCCGATGATGATGATGTTGACGACGTTGATGATGCTGATGGTGACGATGATGGCCATGGTGGTGATGGCGATGGTGTCTCGATGATGTTGATGATGTTGACGATGCTGACGTTGCTGCTGATGATGATCATGGTGTCCCGATGATGATGACGCTGGTGATGTTGATGATCCCGATGATGTTGATGGTGATGAGATGATGATGGTGATGATGATGATGCTGATGATGAAAATGATGATGATGGTGTCCCGATGCTGATGGTGATGATGAGGTGGATGATGATGCTGTTGATGAGGATGATGGTGATGATGATGGTGGTATCCCGGTGGTGATGATGATGATGTTGATGATGACGATGATTGTGTCCCGATGATGCTGATGCTGATGATGATGGTGATGATGAGGATGATGCTGAAGTGATGATGATAAGTTTGATGATGGTGGCCCAATGATGATGCGGATGTTGATGATGATGGTGTCCCGATGATGATGGTGATGATGATGATGATGATGATGGTAACGATGATGATGGTGACCCGATGATGATGATGATGATGATGATGTTGATGATGATGTTGCTGATGATGATGGTGTCCCAATGATGATGATGTTGATGATGCTGTTCATGATGATGATGAGATGGTGATGATGACGATGGTGTCCCAATGATGATGATGTTGATGATAGTGATGATGGTGACGATGATGGTGTCCCGATGATGATGATGATGATGATGATGATGATGGTGATGATGATGATGCTGATGAGGATGGTGATGAAGTGATGTTGATGATGCTGATGGTGTCCCGATGATGATGATCATGGAGGTGATGATGTTGATGACGTTGATAACGATGATGTTGATGATGATGATGACGTTGATTGTGAGATCGATTGTGGTATCGATAGTGAGATCGATAGTGAGACCGAATGTGAGATCGATTTTGAGATCGATAGTGAGGTCAATAGTGAGATCGATTGTGAGATCGATAGCCAGATCAATTGTGAGATCGATCGAATGAAATAGATCGAGTGGTATCGATTGTGAGATCGATCGAGTGAGATCGATCCAACGAGACCGATAGTGAGATCGATAGTAATGTCGATAGTGGGACCGAGACGTTGGTTACTCCCCCCCCCGAACCTCCTTATCAACCGAAGGGTGGTCGTATACATATATATATATATATTGGGATGTTTTTGCTGTCGGAATGCCAGAGGCTCCACCAACCAAAAATATGAATTATAGCTCGAACTATGTGTGTTCATAGATTTGCATGTGTTCAATGTTTGCTATTTCTTCATCGTGTTCCTAGTGAGTTTAGTGGGATGACAGGATCTTCGCGCGCAAAAGAAATGTCGATGTTCGAGTTTGCTGCCCACGTCCCGCAGATTACAAGACCGCTGCCATATGTCTGGCTTTCCCGCGAAATTGCATTAAAACTCTGTCTGTTTCAAGACAGAATGTTGATGTTCTACTTGCATGCCAGCCGCCCCGAGAACCAATCACACAGACCACTCATACACAAACTTTGCGAGCAATGTACCAGCTGAATTCGTGCGTGCCCCACCAGAGCTTGAACCACAAGACTGTCAAGTCGGAACTTGAATTTGTTCCGTGCAATCCAGATACACGGATCGCTCAGACACAACACCTGAACACATCTTTGATATAATGTGTCTGGCCCCAGATGGAGTTCGAATCACAAGGCCGATCTCTTGAGCACAAACTTGAATGTCCGCGCTTGCCCCGAACACCAACACAACATACCGCTCAAACACAAAGCCTGCAAGACGTATTAGATATGATTTGTCGGGCCCCAGCCAGAGTTTGAATTACAGAGTGTTTGCGATGAAGATAGCGCTTACATGTCCCCCGGTTCAGTGCACAATCGTGTTCAATGGCAGAGAAGGCTACGTGGTAGAAAGGTGACCCGACAAAAAGGGAGAACGGTCGCCCCTCAAAGCGGCACAACGGTCACCCAGCTAGGTTGTAGAACGGTTACACGTAGTGGTGAACGACTGTCCGTGGTGCACTAAGCGGTTCAAAGGTTCCAAGGCTAGTGGTAGAACGGACGCCCTAAGTAGTAGAACGATGTACAGCCGAAAACACGAACAACCAGCTTATCTGTTAAGAAAACTGGGCCTGCTTCCGAGAAAGGTCTTAACACACACCTTGGCCGATGTCTTTTGGCAGTGCTGGAGGGCGACCGTGCTCAAGAACCTGGGCCAGTTTTCCGGCAACTCGGTTAAGAAACGCTGGCCCGGCTTCTCGGGAGGAGGCTTCGTAATCCGATGCTCGACTATCGTTTTCTAGGAGGGTGGATGGGCGAGTCCAAGGTCCGAAATTTCTATTCCTGGCCTGCGCCCGTGGAGACCCAATTTGAAAAACATTAAGGTGTCGTGTACAGTTCAACCCCAGTCTTAATCAAAAGGGAGCCGATTCTGGACCAAATTCCAGCTCAAATTCGGACCAGGTCCGAAAAGGAGGATGCCTGAACTCTCGGCCCCGTCCTTCCTGCAGGAAGGGTCACGTTTTTCAATGTCGCACGCAGATGTTCAAATTCGTGGCTCGGCGCATGACTCCTGGATGCCGCTCGCCGCGGGGACCCGCCCTCCCCCGTGGCCCCAGCGCGGAGGTGGCGATCCTTGCTTCCTGGGTGCCGCTCGCCACGGGGACCCGTCCTCCCCCGTGGCCGCAGCGCGGGGACGGCGACCCTTTTGACTCCTCCTTGACTCCCGATTCCATGGGTGCCGCTCGCCACGGGGACCCCACGGGCACACACACACCCTCCTAGTCTTCTCCCACCCTCCAGGATCTCACCCCATTCTCCCCGACCTCTCGCCCTCACCCCCTCACCCGCGCCTCCTGCCCCATACCCCCGGGGCACGGCCAGTTGCTCGAGCCACTGCCGCAGGTCCGCGCACACGTCCACCACCATCCTGTCCGTGAACTCGCGGAGCAACAGGGATCCTCGACACCCCGCGGGAGGGATCAGGGGGGGCGTCAGCCGAGCACCTTCCCGACCCCCTCCTTCTCCCCATCCCCCCCCCACAAGTACACAATATGAATCTTACTCTTCTCTCTCCCCTCATGACGTCCGGAAGATATCTGGCCCCCCTCCGCGTTCGGTTTTCTTTTTTCGCACCAGATTTCCAACACCTGAATTTTCGCTTGGGTTTTTTTCAAGATGTTGCTCCCGCTGAAGCGCTGGCCTCCTTTTCGGGCTTCCGCTCGTTCCGAGTCGTGCTCCCTCTGCAGCGCTGGCCTCATTTCTGCGTTTCTGCTCGTTCCGAATCGTGCTCCCGCTGCAGCGCTGGCCTTCCTTCCAAACAGCCCAAAATAAAAAAAACGCCTTCCCGAAAAAACCATTGGAAGTGATGACACATTCGGTGCCGATTCGTTGATACTTTGGGCCGAAGAAGCCCCCCCACTTGGGGGCGTCGTCGCTTTCAGGAAGTATCAAGCGGGAGCCCGTTTCTGCATTGAGAAGGCGATGTTGGAAGCAGAGCCAGCGGGTGCTCTCCATCAGCCCCACCTTGTGTGGAGCTTTCGGGAAGCCCAAGGAGGCAGACATGGAGCCACGACGTCAGACCGGCGCAGACCTCTCGAAGACGGTCCACCTTGCCTCCAAAGAACCTGGCGTCATGCCATGACATGCTGTGCGGTGTTGTGCTCTGCGCCCCTGTGCGATGCCATGATTTACGCTGCAATGCTTTGTGATGCAATGCTTCACTGCGCAATGCCACACCATGCTATGGCATGCTACGCTCTGCCGCGCTCTTCAATAGAGAGGAAATATACGCCATGATAAGGGATGGGGATGGGTAGGACGTCAGATACTGCGCGAGCGCACCTAGCTTGCCTCCCCCCTTTCCCCCCCTCCGCCAGCGGAGAGCGGGACGACTGAGCAGTAGCAGCAGCGGAACGGCGTCGTCGTCGTCGTCGTCGTCGTCGTCGTCGTCGTCGTCGGCGTCGGCGTCGGCGTCGTCGCCGTCGTCTTCGTCGTCGCGCTTGCTCATCTACGGGGGACGTCAACCCAATGCCAAGCCCATCCTGGCCGGGCGCCTTCCCCGGGGTGCAGGATGCGCCCCGGCAGGGTCGGCGAGGTGGTCAGCTGGTGCCCTTCCGAGGGGGGGGCGAGCGATCGGGCGAATGGCCAGGAGTCGTGTCGACAATGGCGGGCGGGGCCCTTGGGCAACGATTTAGGGGGCGAAGAAAGGTGTAAAACAAACTTTTCCGACGTCGGGGACGCCTGCCCCCCGGGCGGCTCGAAAATTTATACCCCTACGTGGCACCGTAGGGGTAAGTATAAACTTTGCAGCCGCCTGGGGGGCAGGCGCCCCCGACGGCGGAGCAGTTTATTTTATACTGCTCTTCGCCCCCTTAATCGAGGGCGGGGACGGGAGGGGGGGAGGGGGACAGTGGGAGGGGGACGCGGGGGGGGGGGAAGGCGAGAACGCCACGTTCCCCGCCCTGCCGCCGCACACGGAAAGGCAGAGCCCGGGAGGACCGCAACGACGGCCCGCGAGACCCCAAGGGTGCCGACAGGGGTTGGCCCCGGGAGGGCCCTCCAGCGGGCCCAGGTGCCCCCCCCCAAAAGAACCACAGTGACCACGAGATCACCCGAAACACTCCAGGAGGGGGGAGGCAGGGGCGAACGGGGAGATGAGGCACTGGAATAAGGGGGGAGAGGGGGAGGGAGGAAAAAGGACCGAAGGGTGTCGGCCGTCTGGCGGAGGGTAGCCAGCGAGCCATTTCTGCAGGCGGAGGGAACAACCTTTCCTTCTCCCCCTCCTCCCTCTTTCTCCTCCTCCTGCTCCTCCCTCATCCTCCTCCTTCTCCTCCTCCTCCTCCTCCCTCCTCCTCCTCCTCCCTGCTCCTTCCTCCTCCTCCTCCTCCTCCTTCCTCCTCCCTCCTCCTCCTTCCTCCTCCTCCTCCTCCTCTCCTCCTCCTCCTCCTCTCCTCCTCCTGTTTCTCCTCCTCCTCCTTCTTCTCTGCTCACTCCTCGCCGTCTTCCTCCTCTCCTCCTCCGTCCTGCTGCGCCCCTAGCTTCCTCATCCTCCTCTCCTCCTCTCCTCCCCCCTCCCTCCTTCTCCTCCTCCCTCCTCCTCCTCCTCCCCCCTCCCCCTCCTCCTCCTACCTCCTCCTCTTCTCCGCCTCTCTCCTCCTCATCATCATCATCATCATCATCATCATCATCAATCATCATCATCATCATCATCATCATCATCATCATCAGCATCAGCATCAGCATCAGCATCAGCATCAGCATCATCATCAGCATCATCATCATCATCAGCATCATCATCATCACCATCACCATCACCATCATCATCATCATCACCACCACCATCATCATCAGCACCATCATCATCAGCATCAGCACCAGCATCATCATCAGCATCATCAGCATCACCGTCATCAGCAGCAGCAGCATCAGCATCATCATCATCGATCATCAGCATCATCGTCATCATCAGCATCATCACCATCATCATCATCATCATCATCATCATCATCATCATCATCATCATCAGCATCATCATCATTATCATCATCAGCAGCATCATCATCATCACCATCACCATCACCAGCATCATCAGCATCATCAGCATCATCATCATCATCATCAGCATCATCAGCATCATCACCATCATAACCAACAGCAGAAGCATCATCATCCCTCCTCCTCCTCCTCCTTCTTCTCCTCCTCCCTATGCTGCTCCTCCTCCTCCTCCTCCTCCTCCTCCTGCTCCTTCTCCTCCTCCTGTCCCTCCTCCTGCTCCTCCTCCTCCTCCTCCTCCCTCTTCCTCCTCCTCCTCCTCCTGCTCCTTCTCCTCCTCCTGCTTCATCCTCCTCCTCCTCCCTCCTCCTCCTCCTCCTAAAACTCCTCCCACCCCACCTCTCCCTCATCCCTCCTCATCCCCCTCCTCCTTCTCCTCCCTATGCTGCTGCTGCTGCTCCTCCTCCTCCTCCGCCTCCTCCTCTTCCACCTCCTCCTACTAATCCTCCAACCTTCTCCTTCCACCGTTCACCTTCTCCCCCCTCCTCCCTTGGAGAGGCGTGATGGCCCCCCCGAGCTCCTTCTGCTGAGGGCACCTCTCTTGGCCGCAGCATGCCGACGGCGCGGCTGATGCGCTGGAGCATGAACTCCGCCAGCTGGGCCTGCTCCTCTGGCCGAGGGGGCGGGGGGGGGCTTCCTCCCCAGGCAGTCTGGGGAGAGAGGGGGTCATGCAGGAGGGGGTGTGGGAGGGGTCAGAGGGAGGGAGGGGGGGGGGGGGGGGCGGGATGGAGGGTCGGGGGAGGGGGGCAAGAAGGGACGAGGGAGGGAGCGCACGCCCCTGCAGGGGAGCAGAGGGGAGAGGTCGGAGAGAGGGGGGAGGTCGGAGGGAGGGACAGGTCGGAGATAGGGGGGGAGAGGTCAGAGGGAGGGGGGCAAGTGAGGGGGTGAGGAAGGGTTGGGAGGGAACTCCTGGGAGGTTGTCGCAAGAGCGATGGAGGGCTCCTACACCTTGTGCAAGAAAACCATTCAGCTGAATGAAGCCAGGTGAAGCCCAAGATCAAGCTGCAAGAAGCAGATTCCGCGGGAGAGTCCTGGATTAGGCCGGTTCCCGCCCACAGGTATACCGGCGCCGGTGCTGAATTTCGCCTCCCAGGAGTTGCACCTTGAGATGGGAGAAGAACAAACGCGGGGAGGAAGGGGCGAGGGGGGGATTGAACGCCCAATGCAGGGGAGCAGGGAGGAGAGAGGCCGAGAGGCCCAGGCTCTCGACAAAACCTGTGCGCGCGCCCTTTCTGCGGGACCACTTCGTCAGCCTGGCAGGTGGCTATATCCTGGCAGGGGCTGGGGAGAAAGGCGGGAGGGGAAGCAGGCAGGAGGGGGGTGGGACGGAAGGAAGGAGGAAGGAGGAAGGAGGGTCGGAGGGAGGGGATCGAGGGAGGGAGGGAGGGAGGGGAGGGGCGGAAGAGGGTCGGATAGAGGGAGGGTGGGTCGGAGGAGGGAGGGCGGGAAGGACGCTGCTCCATCCTTCTGCCTCTGCTCCCGCTCAAGCTTCCAGCTCGTGCTGCTGCTCCTCCTGCGCATCGTCGGACTGGTTCATCTCTGCGAGGGTCTTCTCCCCCTCATCCTACCCCTCCTCTTCCTGAACCTCCTCCTCCTCCTCCTCCTCCTCCTCCTCCTCCTCCTCTTCCTCCTCCTCGTACCCAAAGACTAGTAAGTAGGAGGATGAGGAGGAGGAGGCGGAGGAGGAGGAGGAGGATAAGGATCTTGAAGTCATACTGCTTTGGGGCGCCTTTGCCCAGGAAGACGAGGAGGAGGAGGAGGAGGAGCAGGAGGAGGAGGCGGAGGAGGAGGAGGAGAAAGGATAAACGAAACCGTAAGAATGAAGGAAGAGAAGGAGGAACGACGACGACGACGATCACGACGACGACGACGACGACGATCACGACGATCACGACGACGATCACGACGACGACCGCGGACGACCACCACGACGACGGGCGCCCGCTCCCGCAAGTCCGGCCGCACCTCGCCGGCCACAGCGCCCGGCTGCGGGGCCTGGCTCCCGGCCGGCCGGGCAGCGCCCCGCCCCCGCGCGGGGAGGGCGGCAGCGCGACGAGGAGGGGGGCAGCGACGCGGAGGGGAGGGCGGAGGGAGGGGACAGAGGGGGAAGGAGAGGGAGGGGGGGGGGGGAATGAGGGGGGGGAGAGGAAGGGGGAGGGGAATGAGGGGGGAGAGAGGGAGGCAGGGGGAGTGGGGGAGGGGGAGGCAGATGCAGGGAGGGAGGAGGGGAATGAGGGGGAGAGGGAGGGGGAATGAGGGAGAAGGGAAGGAGGAGGGAGGGGGACGGGGAGGAGGAGAGACAGAGAGAGAGGGAGAGAGGAGGACGGACGGAGGATGGGGAGGGGGAGCACAGACATACAGGTGTATATATATATACATATAGCTACACATCGATGTGTGTATATCTCTGTGTAAATGCCATTGTACATATGTAGACACATACATACATGGATACACATATGTATGTACATATAGACACGTATGCACATGCACATGCATGTGCATTTGTGTTTGCATTTGTATGTGTATGTGCATTTGTATTTGTATATGTACATGTCTATGCATATGCGTATATGTGTATGTATCTATGAATATATGTATAGTATCATGTTCTTTATTCTTTGGATTGCCCGACCCCCCCCCTTTCTAAGCAGGACACCCCCCAGGGACGGCCCGGACGGCCTTTCGGACGTCTCGGCGGCCCCCTGGACGCCTTTGGAAAAGTTCCACTGGCCCTGCTGGGCCTTGCGAACAGACTCAAGGCGATCAGAGAGGTCATCAGAGAGGCGCAAGAGAGACCCATGACAGCACAAAAGCGCTCCAAGAGGAACCTCGTTGGTCTGAAGACGGCCCAAGAGGCCCCACGCCCAAAGAGGCCGTTGAGAGAGCCCGGAAGAAGCAAACATCGTCCCATTCCCGTAAGAAAATGTAGATATGTAGCATATCCGCTTTTTCGGTTTTCGCAGCGTCCAATACGGCCCGATGGGCCCCCGATATCGCCCCAAGACGGCCCAGGAGGCCCCCCAGAGGGTTTGAAGACGGTCCCCCCAAAACTGCCCCAGAGAGCCCCAGGACTGCCCACTAAAAACCCAAGATGCCCCCAGAAGGCCCCCAAGAGACCCACGAAAGCCATGGGGGACCCCCAAGATGGCCACTGGAGGCCCCCCAAATGGCTCTAGGTGGTTTCAGAAGACCTGTGGAGGGCTCGAACTCCCCAAGACGGCCCAAGAAGGCCCCAGGACGGCCCGATGGGGGCCCCAGGACGGCCCGAAAGAGCCCCAAAAACGCCCAGACGGCGTTCTCTTGCGAGGTACATCGGGCTGACCCGACGATCTTGGTTCCACGCTTGAGGCTCGAGGTGTAAGTTCCTCGATCGAGAGAGACAGGCAATGGATCTAGATTCAAAATTCGATGATCGAGAATTTCCTGCTGAGTACCTGGGGCCCCCCAGGCATTCACGAAGCGACCCAACATCGACTTGTCCGGAGCTACTGCGACTGCTTCGGCGTGTCATGGGAAAACCCGGTGGTTCCTCAAAGGACCTTCGCGCGTGAAAAAAAAACAAGCATTCCTTCCACACTCCTGCGCACAAGCGTGCAAGCGCATCGGGCGAACGCAGTGTCAGCAGGCACCAGGGATATCAGAAAAATGAAACGGTCGCACGTCCAGGCCTCGAGGTCCCCCTGCTGAAGCAAGCGATGATTGATTGCTTTTCCAGGGGAGTCCGGAACAAGGCGCATGGCGCGAAGCGCCAATACACTTTTTTGTGTGTGTGTATACACATATAAATATATACTAGAACCACGCGCGCGCTTCGCGCGCGCTTAGGTTCTAGCTAGGCACAACATCATCGTCATCATCGTCTTCGTCGTCATCATCATCATCATCATCATCATCATCATCATCATCATCATCATCATCATCGTCATCGTCATCGTCATCGTCATCGTCGTCGTCGTCATCAACATCGGCATCAACATCATCATCATCATCATCATCATCGTCATCATCAGCATCGTCATCATCATCATCAGCAGCAACATTATCATAATCATCATCAGCATTACCATCATCATCATCATCATCATCATCATCATCATCATCATCATCATCATCATCATCATCGTAATCATCATCATCGTCGTCATCATCATCCTCATCGTCGTCGTCTTCATCATGATCATCTTCGTCGTCAAATCATCATCATAAATAATAGAATCGCCATCGTAACCGTCGTCGTAATCGACGTCTTCGTCGACGTTTCTTCTTCGTCCACGTCGTCGTCATCATCACCATTATCATCATCATATCGTCATCCACCTGTTCTGGCCCCCTCCTCGTCGTCGTCCTCCTCTTCCACCACCTCTTCCCCGTTCTATCTCTCCCACTTCTGGAAGATCTCCTCCTTTTGCTCCTCCTCCTCCTCCTCCTCCTCGACGCCGCTTCCTCGAAGAAAATCCCCGCTGTGAACACGTGAACAAGTGAAAACACAGTCATGCATGCATGACTACGAAGGAAGATAAAAAGCGTCGGCATTACCTCATCCAGGGAGGCTGCTGTGGCTTCTCGTGCCTCGCTTGACGTACGGACTGGCTCAATCCCAGCTCATCCCCCATACCTCCCAAGATGTTTGTACCCCCTCAGATTCCCGAGAGCTTTTGCCAGGCATGAAAACGGCCACACTTTGTTCTGGCATGGCGGGGCCCTCCGGTGTCTACCCTCATGCCCAAATGTTCGACGCAACGAAAATGTCACGAAATTCGGCTCCCGAATTCGTTGCGCTTGCATGGATGGACCGGTGCACCGAAAATGGACTTCGAGACAGAAAGCCGTAACGATCCAGACCGTTACGGCCAGACGGAGCCGGACAAATCCTGCCCCCCAAGTGCCCATATCCGCGAACCTCCTTATATCCTCAGCTGCTGGGGTGAATCTGTGATCCCGCTGGAGGTGACTTCTGCCGGTGAGAACCTTGCTTGCACGGGGATTTCGTCGGCATTCCTCCACGCCGACTCCGCGGCATTTGGCTTCCCCCCCCTCGCCGGCCAGAGAGGGGGGGGCAAAATTTATTAACACTCCTCGGTGCTATTTTCCATTCTACCTAGAATGCGCCGGTAATCCCCGGCACCGACTCCGTGACATTCAATTGTCTTCCCGGCCGGCCATAGAGGATGGGGGCACGATTTGCCATTCCGCCGAGACTCCGATCAAATAAACTCCCCCGCTTCCTCTCCCAAGGGGACCCCATTTTGTCAATCCATGTCCCGGCCGCGTGGCCGATGACCACGAAGCCTCCGCACCGACTCCGTGACAGTGAGTCCCCCCCCTCCCCAAACCTTTGAAGGCCCCAATCCCCAAGACGTCCCTGTGAGGCCCGAGGAGGTCGCAAATAGTCTCCAGGAGACAAGGGAAGTGCCTCAAACAAGGCCCTGGGTGGTCAGAAGCAGTGGAGAAGCACATGTGATACGCACCGTTTTTGAACAGTGTCGTCCCTTGGCGTTAGAGGACGGCTGTAAGGCATCTCACGTAGTGGCCTCGGGGAAGCTGCCAACAAAAACTCAACAGTCCCACCGGGCCTTAAGGAAATCCGAAAATGGCCGAAAAGGGATCCGGGAGAACTCCCAGATAACACGAAACCTTCCAAGATCGCACCTTGAAGGCTCCGTGACGGCACGAAATTCAAACCGGACGGCTTTAACATGGTTCCGTTGGGCCTCTTCGGCGCTGCTCGGCAGAACCATCTTGTCCCCAGGAAGGCTGCGTCAGGCAGCGCTAGACCTCAAGAGGATAGCTGCCAGAGGGCTCCATGACGAGCCGAAGACCTGATCAGACGGCCCCAAGATGGCTCCGCTGATCCTCTTCGGGACTGCTGGGCAGAACTCACGGGACTGCTGGGCAGGACAACGTCGCCTCAGATGTCTCGAAGATTCCACAAAAGCCCCGAAAGTGCTTTCGCCCTCGGAGGAGCTCCACAGAGAGAGTTCGCTGAGGTTCCACAGAGGGCGCAAAGGTGCCGCCAAACACCCCAGAAGATGCAACGCAACAGCCATGCAAGGTTACGGCCACGCCACGCCACAGCATCGCAGCGATGCCTCCCAGCTGGCCGCTGGTGGAACATGCTGTGTACATGTCGACGCTGAGCTGGCATAGCGGGGGTTGCCGCAGGCAGCTGGATAGCCAAGAGTGCCTTCGACGTGCAGGAGGGGATACGTGAGTGGGTCCACATGCTCGGACAATGCCGGGAGCTGCTGCGTGTTACCCTTGCCGTCAGACCTACGTTCCTAGACGGAGATGAGGTGAGGAGGAAACGGTCCTTCACCGAGGACTGCACAGGCGACTTCGGCGGAAGAGGGCGCATTGTAGCGTCGAGGATCTTTCTCCACACCCCCGGCAACACGAAGTTGATAGGACGGGGCGTCCTGCCCGTAAGTATTGCGAGCGTCTTCTACCTTTTCGTGCATGTTGAGGAAATGGCCCGGGTACGGATTTCTAGCCTGGACGACTCGGTTGACGAAATCATTTGCGTCGACGAAGACTTTCTCGACAGGTTCTACCAACATGTGCAGTAGCTGTTGGAGCACTGGCAGGTCGAGGTTGGGAAAGGCAGCGCGGCGAAGTTCGGTGGCCATGAGCGGGTCGTATATGTACAGCTGAGCGAATTTGGGGGATGTTGAATTAGTGGGGTACCACGTTCCCATTGCATGGTACGCTCTACCGTGCAGTACGTATACCGGTGGACCCTGTCCAGGGGCGGCCGAATGGGCGACAATGTTGGGCTGGTTGTCAGTGGAAGGACTGTTGTCGTTGTAAGAGGCAAAGCCCAGGGCGCAGTTGTAGGAGCGATCCTTATGAAATCTGCATGCGCAGAGGGAGTCGTACAGCAGTCTGGGCGCAGAAATGATGCCAATGGTTCTGGAGCAGGAGGCAGGCGCGGAATTCCAGATAGAGCGCCTAAGCGGCAGCATCGTGTGAAGCAGAATTCGTTTTTTTGAAGA